ACTAATGTCAAGCCTGAATGCAGCTATAATATATAGAAATAAGTTATAATATATAGAAATACTGAAATAAAAAAAAAGCGAATAGACAATGAAAATAAATAAATAAATGTTTTATTGTTACATGACAGATGGTAATTATCACCACCGGTTAATTTGATTATATTCGAAATATTTCGAAATATTTTGAATATTTTGAAACAGTTGTATTATTTTTTCAACAAAATAAATTCAATAAAAAAATTGATGTAATATCAGATATATGTACATACGTAATTTAAAATCAGGTGGTTGTTGAATTCAAATTATTTGAAAAATTTTAGAAGACCTATTATCGTGGTGGTAACTAGTCCTCGATATAATTGTCTTTTCACTTTCACATCAGTTCACTTTGCCTTAACCATTAAATTTGTGTATCGCAGATATTTCTTATATGCCTCTGCCACGCACATAAAAGTCGTAACCATTCATAACTTTGTTAACTTATTTATGACTTTTATGTGCATGGCAGGGGCACATAAGGAAGTACTTGCGATACACTAATTTAATAGTCAAGGCAAAGCGAATGGATGCGAAAAAGAAAAGACAAGTATATCGTGGACTAGCTACCACCATAATACCTATCAACTCAAGATGCTTAGGTGTTAGCGGCTCTTTTATAAGTTGGGTTCTTTACTTTTTCAAAGATATAGTTGTATTGAAAAACTTTCATCGCTTCAGAAAAACCACATTCTTAATTACCAACGAAGTAATTTAATTTATGACACGTATTATACATATCAAATAAAAATTGGATGCCAAAAAATCATTCGGCTAATTTTTATAGGTGTCCCAGGAATAATGAAAACAGTTGTAAATTCCAAGTTGAGAAGCATGTATGTGAATTATTTCGAAATTTTTACTTAATGTAAAATTGCCATAATATTACGTAAAATATTGCAAAATATTGCACAAATAACTTACGTAATATTTCATAATAAGATATTTCGCAATATTTCGCAATTTCTTACATAATATTACAGCTATTTTACAGTTTGTAAATTATTACGAAAAATTATGGTCTTATAAATTTGCTGATGTAGTATATAGACATAATATTAAAATGCCTGGTTAACAGTTTTAAGTAAAAACTATACAGAATAGGTTTAGTTTCATTTTCCTTTAGAATTCTATAAAAACAATGGATATTCTTAAGTTTATTTTTATAGAAAAGAAAATTCCATACAAATAAGTGTCTGGTTTGATATTTAAGCTTTTTAATTTAACTTGAATTAAAATTATGAAAGATAATGAAATTACAAAGATACTTCCGAAACTGGATATATGTTTTGCAATCCATGAAAAATGATTTAGAATTGATTTTATAAATTAACTTAAGAAAAAATATACTAAGTAATACTGAGATTTACGTGATTGCTAAAGCAACTATGATGAATTATTAAAAACACAAAGAAGGAGAAAAAAAAATCTTTTAATTATTACTGAGAGATATTCCAAATGGGTTTTTGTTATAATAGTTGGGGCTAAAATAAATAATTAGACAAGAATAGATAGAAAGTATTAAAAAAAAATAGTTTAGAATAAAACTTCTTATGAGATAATTTAAAATATCCAAGTTGATATCTGTTATAGTGAGATGGAGTGATTATATCAAACAAATTGGTGGTTATTATGATATAAATTGAAAATACTAACAGAATATACAATATCAGTTTATACTATCAATTTTTAAATACTTGACAGTATATCAACATGGGTATGAGATTTACCAGAGCGATATGTAATTATATAATCAAATTTTTAAAAAGATAAAAACCATTGAGCTAGTCTATTAATAGACCTCTAAGTTTTAAACATAGAGGTTAAAGCTGAAATGGCCCAAACAATAGCCTTCTTAGTAGTCAAATAATTTTTTAGCTAGTAATGGGGTATAGTTATCATAAGCTATAACTCTTTTGTGATAGCCCTTATCTAATTGGGACAAAATAGCACCCAATGCATAACCAAAAATATTGGTTAACAATAAAAGTTTCTTGATGAAATTAGGAAAAGCCAAAATTGGAGAAGAGAAAAGCTTAGTCTTTAAAGATTTAAAAGCAATCTGTTGAAGAGCAGACTATTCATATGAGACATTTTTCTTTAACAAATAGTTTAGTGAATAGGCTATTTTAGTAAACCTTCTAACAAAATATTAATAATAGAATGCAAGTACCAAAAATCTACAAAGTTGGCGAACATTTTCAGAAACAGAAAACTCACAAATGACTTTAATTTTCTAGAGTTGATTGATATATCTTCAAACCCTACAATATATCCTAAAAATTTAATTGCTTCCTAGCAAAGAAACACTTAGAAGGTTGAACTTTAAGATGAGCTTGTCTAAGAATATGAAAAACTTGGTATAAATGGGTTAGATATTTGGAGAAAAAAGTAGAAAAAACATTAATATCATCTAAATAGACAACAATAAATTTTTCTACAATGTTTTGGAAAATATGATCTATAAGTTTTTGAAACATTGAAAAGGTATTAGCAAAGCCAAATGGTATAACATTAAATTCAAATATTCCATATTTGGTTATAAAGGCTATCTTTTCTTTATTTAACACTTCTATTTTAATTTGCCAATAACTAGAAGCAAGATCCAATAAAGAATACTAACAAGAATCTTGCAGAGTATCTAATAACTTATCAATATGTAGAAGGAGATAAGTATCTTTCCAAGTTACCAAATTCAGACTGCGATAATCTAAACAAAATCTAGTTTTGTTATACTGATAGACTAAAATTACTGGAGAGGTCCAAGGACTCTGGCAGGGCCTGATTATTTTATAACATAGTATACAACCAATTTCATTTTTGAGGTACTCTTTTTCTTTAGAGAAGCAATAATACAGTCTTTGTTTAATAGGCACTGCATCCCCTATGCAAAACTTTCATTTTTGATACACCTGTTTCTACTTTTTTGATACTGATCAATATGCAGATCCTGGTAAAAATAAAAATTTTAAAAACTTAGAGTGAAGATAACTTGACAACTACTTGCTTAAATTTGATAAAACTTTCTATTTAAATTCTATGGATTTATAAAATTCAAATAAAAAAAACATCAAATTTAGCCATGTGGTTGTCGAGATATTTTTGCTCAAAATTAAAAAGTTTATCAAAATAAAAGCTGTGCCAAATTTCTCCTAACTTTAAGTAAAGATTTCTCAATAATGGTCTGGTCAAATTTGATAAAACTTTTTTTATTTGAATTTTATGAATTCAGAATCCAAATAAAAAAAAATTCATTGAATTTAGCCATGTGATTATTGAGATATCTTTGCTCAAAATTAGAGATCCTATTAAAATAGAAGCTGCACCAAATTTCTTTTTAACTTTAAGTGAAGATATCTCAACAATGGTCTGTTCAAATTTAATAAAACTTTTTTTCTTTCAATTATTTAGATATATAATATTTAAATAAAAAATTTTCATCACATTTTATCAAGTGCTTGTCGAGATATCTTCGCTCAAAAAAAAATCAAATGCCAAATTTTCTTTCCAACTTTGAACGAAGATATCTCAAAAGCCACTTGACTCAATGCAATAAACTTTTTTTATTTAAATATTATGTATCCAAATAATTGAAAGAAAAAAAGTTTTATCAAATTTGAACAGACCGTTGTCAAGATATCTTCGCTCAAAGTTAGAGAGAAATTTGGCGCAGATTCTATTTTGATAGGCTCTCTAATCTTGAGTGAAGATATCTCGATAACCACATGACTAAATTCGATAAATCTTTTTTTATTTGAATTCTATGAATCCATAGAATTTAAATAAAAAACATTTTATCACATTTGGCCAGATAGTTATTGAGGTATTTTTGCTCAAAGTTAGGAGTAATTTGACACAGCTTCTATTTTAATAGGCTCTCTAATTTTAAGCGAAGATATCTTGATAGCCATATGGATAAATTTGATGATTTTTTTTTATTTGAATTCTATGGATCCATAGAATTTAAATATAAAGTTTTATCAGATTCAAGAGATAGTTGTCAAGTTATCTTTGCTCAAAATTTTTAAAATTTTTATTTTTACCAGGATCTGCATGTCAATCAACATCAAAAAAGTAGGAACAGGTGTATCAAAAATGAAAGTTTTGCATCCCCTATATTAATTACATGTTTAGTTAATCCAGTTCTACCAAGGTCATCAGAGGTCCAGGCAAATATATCATTATTTTTACTAAGAAGGTTTTCTAATTCTACTTGATAAAAGGACTCTAAATTTTCTATATTAAATTTCTGTCCAATAGGTCGACTATTATAAAAATAGAGATTAAAAAATTCAAAGGTTTTTAGAAGCTTAACATCAACTAAAGTTAAATTATAAAAATGAGGATAACTCTTCCTGCAAATCCCTAATACAAAATTTACTTAAATTCGTCCAACAAAAAACGTCTATTTACGCACAATTTTATTATGCTAATCTAACTTTACTTTCTAAGTAAACTTGTTCGAAATACAAAAATACACATAATACTTAAATTTCATGTCTATTATCTTATATTAGTGGAATAAAGTCCTAAAACATTTTTTTAAGCAAAAAATTCAAATATTTATCATTTACTCTTTAACCTGATTTTAAACCTCTGCACTACATCTATTAAAAGTTGTTCTACATACTTTTCTCGTCATAACAAGCTATATTTCATCTCTGTAGCCTTTAAAATTGACTAAGTTATTTTTTAAGCAAAAAAAATTAAACTTTTGCCCTTTACTCTTTAATCTAATTCTAAATCTCTGCACTAAGTCTATCAAAAGTTGCTCTACACATTTTCCTCATCATAACAAGCTATATTTTATCTCTGTAGCATCAAAATTGACAATGTTACTCTTTAAAATATTTTAACTCTCTTTTACTCACTCTTTACAACTTTTTTTGTCTTTTTTTTGTACTTTTCACTATACCTGATTTTTGTGTAACATCCAATCACTTCCAAATTTATCCAAATTAACTTTATATTACAGAAATATTAATTTTCCTTTTATATTTTTCATTCTAACAATCAATTTTACACAAATTTGCTAATTATTACACAAAAGCTTACTATTTATATAATAACTTTTTTTAGCTAACTTTACTACCTCAATATCCCAAATTTTCTGCACATGATTTTTACACAATCTGCGCCCTAAAATTACAAAAAATTAAATGTTTATAACTTATATTTTCATCTATATTTTTATATTTATCTACTATATACTATTATTACAAAATCTTTAAAATTTAATAACTTTTGATCTACTAAACCAATTTGATGATTTAACTACAAAAATGATGGTTATTTCAAGATGCTTCTAATGAATCCAAAATCACCTGATTCTGATCACATGATCAAAAATGCCGTCAAGATTTATTTTTTAAACTATCTATATCTCTTATTAAGTTTTTTATTTTTTATTTTTACTTTTAGTATTTATACTATGACTCAACAAAAATTTTCTCACCATAAGCTTTCTAGTGATATGCTTGATTGGTTTCAAGCATTTCCAATCAATTCAGAAGCTCAAAATTTAACACAATTCCCAACTCCTCTTGGAATTAATGTTTTAAATTTTATTAAACCTTTTCTCCAAAACTTCTATCCTGGACATGCAACTCATACTTCTACTATTCCTCAACAACCTATTTGTAATAGCTTTAATAATCTATTACAAGATATGATTTTACAAAAACCACAATTTCTTTTTGATATTATTTATCAAAATACCTCCAATACACCCTCTTTAAATTCCAATATTTCACCTGAATTATTATATTTTACTTTTAAAAATATTCTTTCCAACTTTACTACTGTTCTTTTTACAAGTCTAAACTACAAAAAAATCTTTCATTCACACTATTTCTTACCCCATATTCTATTTCTCAACATGTCCACATTGCAATTAATCTTGCTCGTTTACACCTTTTTCTTCATAATAAATATCAAACTATTAACTATACCCAATTTTATCTTGATCTTGATCTTAAACCTATTCGGCTTAGTTTACATTTTGATACCATCCACCACAATTCTAACTCTATATCACTAGAAATCAAACATGATTCTAAATATAATATTTATATTACCTTCAACATTGATCCACAATATTTTCTTCAAACATTTCATATTCCTTCTTTTAAAACATATTGTGCACCTCTTGATACCTGGTTTACTAAATTCTATAATATTTATAAAAAACAATTTTCATATATCAACCAGCAAAAAGTTTATAATCATATTAAATTTCAAACTATTACCTTTCTTTCCAATAATCTTAAACAACTACTTTCAGTTTCTTACTAATCTATATTAATTAATTCTCAACAAGAACGTACTGATATATCAATAAAGCTGCTTTATACCATTTAAACACTTGCACAAATTCTACTTGCAATATTTTTTCCAACAATACAATACATACTTTTTATAATTTAATCTCTTTTTTCTTTAAACAATTCTTTATACAATTTCCAATTACTTTAAAAATATACCAACTCTGATCTAGATTTTTCTAGCTTTGAACCAAATCAATCATTATCTGCTATATTATTTAAACCATTTCTTTTCAAATCTTTTAAAGAACTAGCTTATCAAGCAGAACAACAATTTATTCAACTTAACAATACTTCAACCAATTTCAAACATGAAACCTCTTTCTTTTATACTTTTTTTTAACAATTTCTTAAGCAAGCTGCTGCAAATAATAATATAACCAATTTTAATCTTAAAAATGCACTACAATATGCTTCTTCTATTTCCACAAATTCTTATCATTTTGCTAACATTTTAGCTTATTTTAATATTATACAATTTTTTACTTATTCAATTTCTTCAATTTTTTCTAATTACTTTCAATTTTATCTCCCACAAGCTATAAAATACATTTCTAAAAAACTTCAAATTCCAACAATTAATACTGATCTTTTTTTGTTAAACTTATAAATACCTGAAACTTCTAATTTATTCCTACCTTCTCCTAAAATAATTTCTAATTTCCAAGTATCTGAAATCCCTGATTCATTATTTCTTTCTTTTTAAATTTCTTTTTCTTGATTTTTCTTTTCTTTGCTTTTCTAAACTTCTTTAAATTCAAATTATAATTTCAATTTATTTACTCAAAACTTATTTTCATTTTCAATAACAACTTCAACTTTATTTTATTTTATTTTAAACAATTTAACTAGAACTTATTACATAATTAAACAAACAAACAAATTTTTTTTCTATTCTAGCTATTTTCTACCATATCTTCACTATTATTAATTTCACCAAAGCTTTCTGCCCATCGTAATACTTTTATTCTCTTTAACCTCTGTGAGAACTTTTCTTTCTAATTATGCAAAAAACTCAAAATATGACTATCAGAATCTTGCTCTAATTCTTGCTCACATATACGATTATTTATTTTTCTAACCTTTTCTTTACACTATCTTCCTCATTTCATAAACTATAGTATTTTCTTTTAGTTATTTTGAAAATATATTCTTATTACAAACTAACATATACAATATAATTACATATTTTTCTACTCTTGAGAAACCAACTCCAAAAATCTCATATAGATAAATCTCCTTAAATCTTTCGACTGAAATCTTACTTGTACTTTCTGCAACTTCACTTTGAAACAAAAGTGCTTCCTCCTCTTGCATTAACTCTACAACTCCATCTTCAAGTGAATTCTTTACTTCTTTTGGTGGTAAACTTTGCTTAAAGCTTCTTTTTAAATGACTTCGAAAATAACTACACTTACTCATTTCACCAAAAACTTAAACAAAACTCCTTACAACCTAAAATTGAAAATTAATATATACTGTACAACTCAAAATTCTCTGACAAATTACCAAATTAAGCAACAATCAGCAAACTGTATTCTCTTAAAGTGTACAAAATTGATTTTCATAACTTACTCCATTGTAGTACAGTGGTTATAGCGTATAGCACTGCAGGGCTGTGTGTTTGATTACCACTGGTAGCATGCTAGGCCTAGTGCACCGAGGAAATATTACCAACCATAACTGAATATTCAACTTTTAACTTTCTTTTCTTAATTTTACTCTTTTTTCTTTACTTTTCTAAACTTTTTTTTTAAATCCAAATTATTCAATTTATTTAATTCATACAAAACTATTAATATTACTATCTTCTTTTTCTTTTCTCTTTTATCTTTATTTAAATTCTTCTAAAATACTATACTTACTTACATTACAAAAAAATCTACATCTTACGTATCCTATAAAACTTTATACTTACCCAGGACTCATCTAGATTTGTATAAAGTTTTTCAAATCTAGGTGAGTCTTGGCCACTCTAGTAGGTTTAGGTCACAGATAAATTAGTCTGAGCTCTTATTCTTGCATATAATTTATATTTATTTGTTTTTATACAAGTTAAGTTTTTTATATAATTTATTATGTAACTACTTATATAAATTATTCAATAAAGATACGAGCAAGGCCTCATCTTAATATCTAAAAAAAAAATAAATAAATAAATTTGTAATTAGATTAAACTTTATTTTTTAAGCAAAAAACTTGAATAAACCAGGCAAACATAATGTCTTTATACTGAATTTTAACTAAAATAAAAATAAGAAGAATACCACTTTTGATTCTCTACTATACAGGTTTTTTCTAATCTATATATTTTAGTATTAAGAAAATAATCTATTAAATATATATTTTAAACTATTAGTATATTAGTAGAGTTTATTTTTTATCTATTAAATATTACTTTCTTGTTAGTTATACATAATTATAGTTACTAAAAATTATAATTCTTATAATGTTAGTTGATTTAAATTTTATTTATTCACAAATATGCAATATTGACCAATTAAATAGCTTAAAAGAAACATTTTGTATATAGCATTATTTTATAATATTAGGATAGATAAATATCTTTTCTAGCTATGAGTTAAGTTTGAGCTGATTAAAATTATTAGTTATTGAGATATTAATCTCAATATTTTGCTAAAAATTATAAATTTTTTGTTATTTATTATTAATAGCTTTACTAAATTACATTACTGGTGCTCAACATCACAATAATTTTCATCAATCAAATTTTTTAAATGCAGTGTAATGTAAAGATTAGATATAACATAAATTTTGTTGTTTTGCAATTTTTTTTAAAAAATATCTTTTAACTCAAAAATTTATTTATAAAACTACCTTTTTTTAAAAAAAAACTTCTTGTAAAATTATATTATATAATACACTTCACTCTAACCCCCAACTATTAATCCCAATTTAATATTTATCAAATTTTTGTTTATTTTTTTAATTGAACTTCATGCTATACAACATGCTGGTGTTGAGCATTAGTGGTGCAATTTAGTACTACTGATTATTAATATTATCAATTAGTTGAAGTATTATATATAACTATAATTATTTAATTATTATCAATATATTTTATAATTTTATTTTGATATATTAGTTTTATATAATTTTAATAAATATTTTTATAAATTGTATCTATTTAAATTTACTAATAATTCATAGCAATATACAAAATCTTAGCATGTTTATATGTTTATGTAAATAAATTATTTGAAGATATTTTTGAGCTTTTTATAAGTTTCTATATTGCTTTGAAGTTTTTACAATTTAACAAATAGCCTTTATAATTACATTTTTGGTAGATGTTGTTTGATTTTATAAATGCTGTAAAAGAAAACCTATAATTGGGTTTTCAAGTATATTTTGTATATAGTTAGTTATTTGTATACTATCTATAGTAAATTTATCATCAAATATAGATTTGCTAAAGACAGCACATAGATACTAACTACACAAAATATACTTAAAAGTCTAATTGTAGGTTTTCTTTATATTTATCAGTTTTAACAATATTTGAAAATTTAACCAGATGTCTTTTAATAGGGCCTTCTATAAACAGGAGATGAAATATGTTTATATGGTTTTGTTTATTTAGGATTTGAGCAGTTTTTACAGGTAAAATTGTCTTCTTAATATTTTTTATTAGTGCTTCAAAACAGATTTAGATACTCATTTCTTTATTTTCAGTATTTTTTGCTTTTTTTTTAGTATTGTCTAGTTGGGGACTAATTAAAATTTATATTTTTATTGGCTGTTAGTTATGTGAATACACCTAGATTTGCAAACAAGTATTAATTATTGAAATCTTGCATCTACTACAGTTTTAACTGATCAGCTAAATATTGTCAACAACAAATAGTTAACTATAGTTGACTATAGTTGTAACTATATCCATCTCTATTCTTCATACATACTAACTCTAATACTATCCCTATTACTTTTAATATGTTAATACTTACTCTTCCAAAACCTGCCTTCCTGAAATATTATTTCCCAACAACCCAAACTTCTGAAAAAAATTTATTTGGCAGATTTTTTCACTAACAAAACCTTTTTTTCGAACTCCTACTTCTCTGACAAGAATTTTTTTTTGAAACCTTTTTACTAGGCCTCCGCAAAAATTACCCGTGTAATTTTTTAATTTTTGGAGGCTATAAAAACGATGTTACACAATTGGTGCTTGAACCAAAATCGTATATGGAGTTAGTATGTTAAACCCACTTTTGGAAAACATGCTTTATTTATACCTCACATACGCTTGCTGCTAGCAGCAAGCGTATGCGAGGTATAAATAAAGCATGTTTTCCGAAAGTGGGTTTAACATACTAACTCCACATACGATTTCAGTTCAAGCACCAATTGTGTAACATCGTTTTTATAGCCTCCAAAAATTCTGAAATCGCACGGGTAATTTTTGCGGAGGCCTACTTTTCACTGACAAATATTATATGATATATTTTTCTGAAAGGATGTTTTTCAAAAAAATAATCCTCTGAAAGTTTATTTCTTGAAAAGAAGTTTCCTTGAAAAGAAAATTCCCAACAAGGTATCTCTCAATTAAACAAAATTACATCATTCTTTATGCAATTTTCCTTCAATGCTATTTGATATTAACTTATCTGGTTAACTTTAAAGACAAAATAGTAAATGCTTAATGACAAATAAATACTTCAGCACAGTTACATTTATACCTATATTTCATACCTATCGGCTGTTTTCTTTACAGGTAATTGTCTAACATTACACAAATGGCAGTATATATCTGCACCAAATCAAATGCCAGTGTGATATCAAGTAAATGACTTATAGAGAAAATAACACGCAGCTTTACCATGCTAGCCGGATTAAAACAGGCTCAATCAGAATACATTCTTCAGTGACAATAACAATTCCAGGTGATACTATACATAGAGAATGTATGACACATTATCTACTTTTTTTTATTACATGTTACACTGCACAATCGAACAAATAAAAAAAAAGATCAAAATTCTTCGTTGCGATTTTTCATTATAGCCTTTGATGATCACTGATTATCAGTCCATCATACCGACAAAAAATTAGAAGAAAAAAAATAAAAAATACCAAAAAAGCTTGAAAAGTATAAGCATAATTTAAAATAGACGCATAAGTGCATGAAAGTTTTACTACAAAATCCCGAAAGTATCTAATATCGATAAAGTTAGCTAACATTAGTTATAATGCTGGCCAATTTAGTCAGTAGGTATTATGTTCTTTCGAGGAAGTGTCTTTCAGATTTTATGGTAGAACCATTTTTGGTTTATCAAGTAACCCAGATATTTTGAAGAAATATAATGTCAGAAAAATATACCATTCGGTAAAGTAGCATGTCAGTAAAATAGACATTCATTTTTATTAATATTCGGTGAAATGAAAATTGCAGATAAGTGACTTATCGGTAAAATTTATTTTCAGTTAAATGAACTTTCGATAAAATGGGATTTTCGAAATTATGTCATGTTAGTAAAATGGGATGCCAGTATTATGACTTCGGTAAAATGATATTTCAGTAAAATTGATTTCGGGAGGTTAACCCGTAACCCTTTTAATATGTGCGCTATTTAATTGTTTGAATTTCATAGTGTCAAAGGGTTCAAAAATCTGGTGCGATCTATTTAATCCGACCAAGGACAAGATTTCTATGCATCCCAATAGGAGCTTAATAAATCTCTATAAAAAGAGATAAGAAAATAATGAATTATGAAATGGGGTAGTTTGAAGAACAGTTAACTCTGTAATCATCAAGACTACTGCACTGTTCGGTCTAGATTAGGGACATAATTCTGGTAAGCAAATAAGTTATAGTTACTGCACGGTGTCTGACATAACAACCCCGTGCAAATAAGTAAATGAAAAAAAGCACGGGTTGTCACATAAGACCCGTGCAATAACGTCATATGTTTTATCATATGATCGTCGATCACTGGGTTAACTGTTCTTCGAAATGAAGCGATGGTACTCTTATCAAAACACAACTTTTCTAGATGCGGAAAAACCAAAATCAAATGATAATATACAAAATTATATTATCAATCCTCACCAAATAAGGAAAATAATATAAGAAGAGATATGTCCAAATAGAAAATATAATGAGTCCAAAATTGGAAATTAAAATTGATGCAAATATTTGAGCGGGCGAAAATTCTCATTAACAACGTCCATTGTTTATATTTACATAGCTGATAGCATGTAACACACGTACGTGCGTGCATAGATCGAAATGTCAACGTTACAATAGATTTAGTTGATCATTACTAATTTTCGTCCATCACGATGTGTACCGAATCGTAATATATGATCTTTATCCAGGTTTTTTCCTAATTATATATCGTATATGAAAATTATTTAAGGAAATTTTTAATAAAAATTTATGCTAGAGAGAGAAGGTATTTTGGTTTTTTTTGGTTTGTTTTTTTTTTTTTATCTGTAAATACATATTGTCATATAGAAAATACGTCTAAATATAACCATTCGACTAGCAAATAAAATTTTTGAAGGCTTTTTTCGGTACAAATTTAATGTTTTTTTTTTTTTTTTTTTTTTAAATCGTTGTTTATTAAAGATGTTTGGGGAAAATTAGTCATTTACAGCACCATTACCTGCATTTAACAAAATAATCCAACGAACTTATAATTAATTCTATCAGTTTACACAATTAAAATTACATAAATAATGTTTAACCTATTTTTTCGTGTGAAAGTAAATTAAACTTTGTCATATAATTTTATAGTAAGAAAATCAAATAATAATAATAATAATAAATAAATAACATTACAGTGAACTATGCATTTTATACTTCTATTAATAATACATACTGTAATTTTCACAAACATTCTGAATGTTTGAAAGTTTACTTTTGTAAAATTGAGCAATTATAAATTTAATCAGCAAAATCATAGTCGTGATAAATATTTCATCAACGTTCACAATGAAATAAATTATTGTTCAGACACAAATGAATCAAATGAAAACTTGTACAGTATACACATTCTTATGCATTTGATAAATTTTTATATTGCGGGTTAAGTTACCGATGGCGCTTTTAGTGTCAAGTAACGCGATTGTAAGTTTTCTCTTGGTGTCACTCATATCTTCTCAAAGTATAATTAGAATTTTACAATGTTATCTTTCTAATGAGCTCGTATCAAGATCATTGATAAATCACAGAGTATCTATTTTTATCATAATCATTGGAATATTTTTAATATGTTGCTATTTAAGCATGATCGCGTAAACAATAACTCGTCTTTTCAACTCTTTAATTTCTTTAATTTTAATTACTAAATTAGTAAATAAAGTGCATATGTATACGGCTCCAAAAGTGTATCTTCGGAAGACCATTAAACTATTTTAGCTTTTGTTTTGAAAATTAACTATTGATAAATAAGATCTATGAAAATAAACAATATATAACCATGCAATCGATTATGTAATACGAAATGCTAATTCAAGTAAAAAATGCTATTAAATAAAAACGTTGAAATGGTAATATTGAAAAATAAACATGAATGTAACACTTAATCACACTTGATTTAATGCTAATATAAGATGATCATGAAGCACAAAAGTGAAATTTTATTTTAATGACATCGAGCAAACCACGATAATGAGATTCAATAAAGTTTGACGTTTTTTTTTTTCTGTACAAGTTTCACAACTATTTTAATTTTCAATACAAATTGTATTTTCTACAGTATTTACGTTAATAGCAATTTCTCCAAGCCAAAAAGCTATAAATTCATCATCTGGTTAGTATCGGATTTTTTTGCGCAATGCTTTAGAATTGATTAAAGTAGTCTACTAATTAATAATGCATTCTAAAGACAAGTGCCCTGTTTGCGAACCCTGCGACAAATCACCCAAATCATGCCCTGTTTGTAAATCTTGTGAGAAATGTGATTTATGTGAAAAATGTAAATTATGTGAGAAATGTGAAAACTGCGGAAAATGTCCACCTTCTCAGACTACAGTTACTTACACCATATGTCCTCCACATACTCCAAAGCCATCTAATAGTGTTTGCAGCACTACAAGTACTAAAGACTGCAGCACAACACTTACTAAAGACTGCAGCACCACAAGTACTAGAGACTGCAGCACCACAAGCACTAAAGACTGCAGCACCACAAGAACTAAATACTGCAGCACCACAAATTTTAATGTCTGCCGCACCACAAGTACTATAACTAGTATTTACAGCATGTGTCCTCCAAATTCTTATAGTTTCTACAGTACCACTAAAACTATAACAGCAACTTATAGCACATGTCCCCCAATTAGTGTCTGCAGTCCTACAACTACTATAACTGTTACTCCTACAAGCAGACCTTTTAACAGCATATGTCCTCCAATTAGTGTCTGCAGTTCTGCGACTACTATAACAGTTACTCCTACTAGTAGACCTTTTAACAGCATATGTCCTCCAATCAGTGTCTGCAGTTCTGTTACTATAACAGTTACCCCTACATGCTTACCTTGCAACGTCATACCAATTAATTCAGCTCCATCTGGTCCAAGTAATCCACCTCCATCTGGTCCAAGTAATCCAGTTATTCCACCTCCAATTGTCCAAACCATTTCTGGTCCACCTGGTTCAATTTCAACTTACCCTGCTTGTACCCCCTCTGTTGTCACCAGTTACATTACCATCTATACATCTAGTGCCACATCTAGTTATTCATCTGCTACAATTACAGCTACACCACCTCCCGGTACAGTTACCGTAATTTCATCTGTTACTCTCGGACTTATTGGCTTACTATTACTTCCATTATGTGGTGCTGCATGCTATTATTATTACTGTCGTAGAAAGGCAGCAGGTAAATATCCAAATAATTTATCTAAAAAAATATTCCTAATAATAAAATAATTCTAATAATCAATAAACTCGATATTTAGTCGCAGGTGCTGCCGGCGCAGCAGGTGGTGCAACCGCTTATGGTGGTGGCGCAACTTCTTACGGTGGTGGCGCAAATTCTTATGGTGGTGGCGCAACTTCTTATGGGAATGGTGGGAACGGTTATGGTGCAGAAGAAACGACAACATCATATGGTTAAATATCATTATTTAAAAAAATAGAAAAAGTTATCAAACTAATGTAAATGAATTTGGGTTGAATCAATTTATAATACTACGTCGCAGACTCTTTATTCTTTAGCATTGTCGCGTTATTTAATTTCTTAATTTCCAAAATTCTTTTATTTATATAGGTATAATATTTATTTACCCTAATGAAATTCCTAATTTAACTTTGAGTAGTAAAATTTTATTCTGATTTATTTGTATAAATAGTTTTTTTTTAAAAAAAATCAATTAACGACTATTATAGATTTTTTTCATTAAAATCTTTGATTTCTTGACTAATTTGTTAAAACATGCATTTATTGAACGATACCTTATAATAATTATCGATTTTATAATGCTCTTTGATTGTGTATCAATATTGTAAATAGGAATAGAATTTTGGTGCTTTTAAAAGTATAATTTAGGCAAAAAAAATATTTTATACAGTATAGGATTGATCCCAATTACAACGTATAAATTAATAAAACTATAATATTTACTTATTAACAAGAACTTAATAAAGTTATTAATTTTAAATTTAATAATTACATATATTTATTTAAAAATTCTTGTCAGAACCTGCAAAGACAATTAGCAAATATTTTATTAAAACTTCAAAGCGTTTATTATTCTAGACCATAGAAAATTAAATGTCAATATTAAACAAAGACCATAAAATATGAATATGTTTTTAAAATTCGAATCACAATAATCTTACGCCAGGTTAAACCAAGATAGTTAACAGAATATGGAATATATAAAGAATATGCATTTAGGGCTTCATCAATCAAAACTTAATGAGATCCAACAAAATTATCACACTAATGATAAAAAATTAGGTCATTTCTGACAGTAACATGAAATTTCATTAATCAAACAAAAAATAAAATGCATTTGATTAATGACATCCTACGTTACGTTAAACATGGCCTAACTTCATATCGTTTTGCTAGATCTCACTAAGGCGCATTTTTGATTGACATGCTTCACTTTTATTTATATTATAATGTTATTAGTCTGTCATATTATTTAAGAAGTATATGGTTATATTGCAAATTAAGCGAGAAGTATTGCACGCACGTGATATATCATTAGTTGGATGCACTGGCTATTAGCGCCAGGCATAAACTTTATTAAATAATTTTTATCGAGAATGTGCAGTATATATCAATGCAATTGATTTATAGACTGAGACGGGACATGCTCCCGGAACTAGCAACTATCACTGGTAAAAAAGTCAATTATTAACTAAATAATAACCAGTAATTTCTGGTACAAATTATAACTTATTTACTCT